ATCTTAAGTAAGAGTGTGTTACCAATTACAGTAGGTAATTAGGAGTTTGAGTTTAATTAGGAATTTTCTTCTGTAATCTCCTATTTAAGGAGCTAAAATAAAGGACATTCAGTTTTCTAGCCAAGAAAATAGTGAGGAGAGTTCGGGTGGTCTCTTGGACAAATCACCCCAAGGGAGAGTTCGGGTGATCTCTTGGACAAATCACCCATTCAGTTTCCGCAATAGAGTCTGCACGCAAGGGAAGGCGCAAGGGGAAGCAGGGCTTTCGCACCGTGGACCGGCCAGTGACGGAATCCTACGTGCGAGACCATAACAAATTGGTATCAGAGCCAAGCGTCATGGGCGACATGGAGAAGCTATCGTCCAAGGTTCACGAGCTGGAACACCGTCTCGCGGAAAATCATGCGTAGGTAATAGAAGCTAAAGAGGACGTCAGGGAACTTCGGCGTCTACTGGAGTTATACTTCTCCACCAGGGAAGGGAGACCTGAAGGGGCAGCCACTAACCACAGTCGCCGCCCAGATCGGACAGAGGGCTCCGGTGAGCGACAGAACGACACACCGATAGCAACAATCATACCCAAATACAGTCGTCTGGAGTTCCCCTCATACAGCGGTAGCGACGACCCACTCGGCTGGCTGTATCGCTGTGAGCAATTCTTCCGCAATCAGCGCACGGAAGAGAAGGACAAGGTCAGCCTGGCAGCATTCCACTTGATCGATGAAGCACAACTCTGGTTCTACCGAGTGGAGCAAGAAGAACCAGGACTTAGTTGGGGCCAGTTGAAGTCGTATCGCCTCCTCCGGTTCAGGCCCCCATTAACGAGCAACCCTTTGGGGGAGCTCATTAACCTCAAGCAGACCGGGACCATCGCGGCAGTTCCAGACCCTTCTCGCCAGGGCCTCGTCAGTACGCCCAGACCAGTAGGTGGATATGTTCACAGCTGGTCTAGCCGAACCCCTGAGAGTGGATGTAGAGATGCAGAGCCTGCCTAACCTGGTCACGGCAATGAATTTGGCCCCGGCCTTCGAGCGCAAACTACAAATTAGCCGAGGGCCGTTCAGCGTGAGATGCCCAGCAACAGCTTGGACAAACCCGAAGCCTACGGAAGGAGGGTCTTCGCTGGCAGCCAACAGGGAACCCCTCGGAATGGCCCCATATCCAGTAGCCAGCCCAGAATGAAAGACACAGATGAGCACCAATTCCAGATCAGCATCTAGTGTGGGGAGTAGCGGCGATACACCCCCTATTAAGCACTTGTCTAGGGTGGAGATGGCAGAACGCAGGGCAAGGGGGCAATGTTTTAATTGCGACGAACTCTACTCAACAGGGCACAGGTGCAAGAGACTTTTCTGCCTCCTGGTGAAACAAGAGGAAGAGGAGAATGAACCCCCTCCATGGGAACCCGATCTAGGAGGGCAAAGCCATTCAGGATTCCTTTGAGGGCGTCTTCGACACCCAATTCGAGCTTGAGGACAAGCTCGTAGTCCGGGAGGGGTGTGATGTTATGGACACACCACCGGGCAACACACTTCGGTGCAGGCATAGGCAACAGCACGCACAGCGGGCCGCCCAGCAGCACGCACCGCCAAGAGCGCAGCACAACAACCCGACAGCGCGCCGCACGCACCGCTCGGCAGCGCACACAGCAGAACGCACCGCCGGCAGCGGCACCATGAGCCGCGCACACGCACCCGACAGTAGTAGCAAAGCGGGGCCCACACGACATCTCATAGGGGTGGGCCCACCCTTATCTGGACACGTCAAAAGAACTCGCCGCCAGCCTTATCCTCATCCCTTATCTTATCTTATCTTTATCTTATCTTAAGTAAGAGTGTGTTACCARTTACWGTAGGTAATTAGGAGTTTGAGTTCAAGTTGGAGTTTGAGTTTAATTAGGAATTTTCTTTTGTAATCTCCTATTTAAGGAGCTACGAATTGAAATAAAGGACATT